TATATATATGAAAAAAAAAATTGCTAGCAAACCCTCGCCATTCTCGGGAAGCTCCGGCCTTTTTCTTGGAACGGGAAGAATATCGAGAAATTAATACAGAGCATATGCTGTCATTAATCCGGTACTCTATAGCTATATGTGTCTATGTATGTATATATATCTATATCTATATGTATATATATATATATGTATATATCTATGTATGTATCTCTATATATATATATATATATATATTACACTCCGTTGCGGTTTGTTTTATGGTAAACGTATCTTGATATTGGAAAATGAAATCTTCACATCTCACTAATTCATTATTTTTAGGGTAAATTACAACCATCCCACGAGGTATAGTTAAATTACGAAAATCCCCCTCAAGTTTGGGTAATTACAATTTCCCATCTCAACTATAAATCTTTTTACACGTTCACCCTTGCGGTTTCAAATTTAGTGGAATCTTCGAGATTATATAGAATATTATTACGTTTGTATCCGCTTTATCCCATTCGAACTCCACATTTTGAAATAAGATGATCTTAATATGTGTTTTTTGGCTTGCATATATGAGATTGTGGTGCATCAGAAACTGTATTTTTACATAAAACGAGTAGAAACTAGAGCACATTCCACGAAATCTAGATGATTATGTTGAATTTGAAACCATAAGGGTGGAGTTGTAAGAAAAATCTTAGTTAAAAGAGGTAGATGTAATTATCCAAACAATTGAGAGGTTTTTTCATAAATTAATCATACTTAAGGGGTGGTTGTAATTTACCCTTCTTTTTATCAATGGATATGTGATATATATATATATATATATATATATATATATATATGCAAAGAAAATATTATGTGAATCCATATCAAGATACGTTACGTTTACGAACTATCCGACGAAAAAAAGAAAGATATGATATAGTGTGAATTTGTATCAAGATACGTTTACTAAAAATAAAAATAAAAATAAAAATAAAAAATAAAAAATAAAAAGAAAAAAGAAAAAGCCCAGCCAAGATATGGTGATATATGTACACACGGGTTAAATATTTTCCTAGCGATTCTGAAATCGTGCTCTCTTTTTTTCTTTGTTTCTTGATATTTTTTTGTGCTTATTTTCTTTATTTTTGTGTGCCAAAATGGATGAATGTTATCTAATGGGATTGTGGTGTGGGTTGATTATGTTTAAATTTCTGGAGGAATATTACCAGTTTTGGTCAACGGGGCCAACCCCCGTTCAAACATCAACACATGTGGTACTTCCAGCGAACGACGACAACGGTTTGTGATCTCAATATTCTCTTTTATATATATATATATATATATATATATATATATATATATATATATATATATATATATATA